CAAACGGAGTCGTCGACTAATTTGGAGTCGTTTTCCAGCCCTTAAAATTTTACAGATGTCAAAATCTCTAATGCTCATATCTGATGATCACCAGATTTGAAAAAATCACAAAATGATCTATAAATCAGTACTTGCCCCCATTTTTGGAGAGTTTTGCTTGGCAATTTTATTTATCCCAAATGTTTTTTACTTGATGGCCCAATTTTTTTAATGCCTGGTGATCTTATTGTATGTATTGGCCTCAAATTTTTGGGGGTTTTACTCAATGAAATTTTGGGATTTTCTTGAGTTGCACACCTGCCTGTCTCCGTCAACAAACGTGAATTGGAGGTTGACATCGGTGTTAGATTCCATGGCAGTCTGTTTGGCTCTCTAAGCCTTTTTTTTTAGTTATATGTAGATGTACAAAAGGTTTCTTCACACATCAGACATAAACTGGCCTAATCACGTCAATTACTGAAGAAAGAAAAAGAAAAAATCTGTTTGAGGAAAAGATCTTGATTGATGTATAAGAGAAGCTTGAAATTATGCTAGTTTATGGAGGAAAGAATTTGAAATCAGCTTCAGAAAGAAGGGAAGAAAATAGTTGCACTGTGTATGTTTTGCGTAAATTGAAAAGTCAAAGAATGTGGTAGATATATTAACTAGTAGAAGCTAGAAGAGAAACTAGATTAATGAGATAAATTATGAGGGACAATATTTGGAAGCAATCATAATGAAAAAAAATCAGGTGGATAAGTCAGGTAGAAAATATCTCAAAGTGTATTTCTTTCTAAATCTAAACTTTGGCTCAAGCAAAGTAATCATAGCATTCCAAAATGTTTTGTCAGTTTTGAAGATCTTGATGAAAGTTTCCTTCTGGTTTTCCTTGTACCAATGACCGATCAAGGACAGAGCTACATGAATTGCCTTGAAATGTGAAGTGCAATCACTGAAATAATAATCCAGCAAGAAAATTTGAGGATCGGAAAAATTGGAATTCCCTATAAGTCCATCATCATCATCTTGAATGATCTTCTCCAGCTCAACTTTACCGAAGAGCGGTAATTTTTCTTTGGGCCCTACCATCAACAGATTATGGATCCATAGAAAGAACGATTTCTGTGTTTGAAGTTCCATCCCCTTGAGTTTGACAAAATCCGAAAATCCCACGTGGCATGCTTTAAGATTCGCCATCAGCATTTCCAAACTACGGGAAACCTGAATTCTAGAGGCTATCAGGCCCGTTTCGAGTTCAATCCAAAGATATCCGGACGAATCTTGTTCCAGATCAGGGGTATTCTTCAAGATAACAGTCCCAAGTCCCCCAGATTTTATCTTGTCTGGATAACGATCAATGTCCCCCATCGAGAGTGAAATCTTGCGGAAAGATTCCATAGTAATCGTCTCCTCGGTGCCCAGAGTTACATCGTATCTCAGTGTGGGATAATGGGGCATCATTGATCTAGGAAGGATTTCAAGATTGCAAATTTGGAAGTTTCCTAACTTGAAGTTTTCATAACCGTGGTCATCAACTCCTTTGAGAACTTTCATGTCTGTTTTGAGTGCATGAGCGATGAGCAACATCAATTTTCGATACGCGACATTCTCTTGGGTATGTCCAACTCGATTCCAAATTTCAGGATTGAAAGTTTCGTAGTAAATCTTAATGATCGGTAATGCAACTTCAAGTTCATTTGAATCTGGCTTTAGGGATAGATAGTTGACAACAATTCTCTGAAGCTCGCCAAATTTGTTTCCCAATTTCGACCTTTGGATGTTTGAGACGATTCCGATGACTGGATAACTGTTTGGAGGATAGAAAACTTCATCGAAGAGCCATTCAACCAGCTTCTCGTGTAACTTCACTTCGTCTCCGTGCTGGATGTCTCCGGTCAAATTTCTCAAGATAGCTGCATTGATGAACACGATCCATTTAATTAGTTTTTTAAATTGAGTGGTAAGCTTTGTGCTTCTCTGATTTGGCCTTTTCTTATGGTCGGTTTCGATGAATTGGGGATGGAGTAAGATCCTGACTACAAAGTCATTGGTATTTTTCCAACGGTTCAACTTAGCTGTTGAATCATCTATTGAATAGCTCTCCCTCGAACCTCTGGCGTTTGCAAACTTCATGTTGTTGACTAGCTCGTTTTGAAACCTTTTTGTAAAGCTTTCCAACAAGCCAATGCTCACAGATTGACGGGGCAAATGGAGATGTGGAATAGATAAGGACGGGCCAGTCTCTTTCGCCGAGTCGATTAAGCGCAAATGTGCGCTTTTTTTCTGCTTCTTGTTTGCATCCTGTAGAAGCTGATCGTAGGCCTCGGCATTATCTTCCACATGAAACTCGTCTTGAGCTGATGAGCCCTCTGGGGAAACCCTGCGATATCTGGGAGACTGTTCGTGATTTTCGCTGGGGTAATGGGCTTGTGAGGATATCAAAACTGACCGATGTATGTGCAAAAAGGGGAGTTATTCCGAGCAAGAAATCAGAGACGTGCATTCTTCCAAGAATAACATTCATTTTTGTTTTCCAACATACCTTGATTGTTAGTATAATCGTCAACTGCATTATGGCGCCTTATTTCATTAGGACCAGCGTGAAGTCCAATATAATCTTGGCCCGGGTGCGCGTCACGTTGAAATTGGGGATGATCATGAGATTCTGTGTGGCCTTTTCGGGCTGGGAGCTCGGGTACAGCCGAGGGGACTTCGAACTGATTTACGAACGATATCCATCCATGAGCATCGAACTTCTCGGACCCAGGGCGGTCAGAATCCAACTGCTTGTGAAGCCAAGACAGGTTGTTACTCGTATCTACTTCAGGGACAGTTTCAAGCATTGGTGTTCGGAAAGTTGAATCTGGGTTATCAAGGTTCCATGCGCCATGTTCCATTGCGTGTGGTTGAGGGGATCCGAGCGAAGTGGGATAATTTGGGGACGTAGGAAAGCTAGACCAGCTCTGAAAGTCATGGCCGGCTTGAAAGTTTCGTGCATCTGTGTCAAACATTCACAAACAGATATAAAAGCTTAGGTGAACATTAGACACGAGACCTCTGTTTCTTTCTCCCGGGCATCAACGCTAATTCTCACCTTCAAATACCGATGACATTGCATGATTGGCGCCAGTGGACAACGTAGGCGGACCAAAACTCAAATATGGAGAATTGGTACCACCATAGTTGTAGTTATATTGGTCGTTTTTTTGTCTTTTGCTGACCTGTGGCAGTAAACTATTTTCGGGCTCTGCAACTTTCAAAATGAACGAAAAAATAGCAACTCATGAGCAAAACCATGTCATTTGGAATCGTTTAGTTAGGCAAGGAATCTTACTTTCACCGCCGAACTCTGTCGAAGGAGCATGAAAGCCTAAGATGTCCGGTTGACTGTGAACCTGCTGGTTTTCGGAAGGACGCTTTGGGTTGAGTAACCTTCCACGGTTGTACACTTCGAAGAGATCTTCTTGACTCGAATGCAAATTGACCCCCATGTAAGGAATTTCGGATAAGCCTTGAGGGGCTGGCTGTGCCCACGCGATACTCAGGCAAAAATGCCATGTCAGTGAAAGCTTGGAAAAGTTGTGTCTTTCAAAATTCAAGCGCATGCTTTCACCAAAGATTCGGCTAATTGGAGTTCGACAGGTATGGAGGCGCTTAGAGGGCAAGATGCCTCAAGGGCAAACAAAGGCCAAGCAATCGAGCTGACTAGCTTCCTCTGGATGTTTGGATCTTGATCGTACATCCTTTGTTTCAGGCTTTCGGCATAACTTCGGCATGACCCGAGTACATGGCTGTAGAGCAGTGGTTCGAGTACATACGAGGTAGCGGTGAGCCCAACAGGTCTGGTCATTCTTGGAACCCATGTTTCCATTATGTAAATAGTTCCGAGTTGCAACAAGACAAAAAGAGAACTAACTATCCAAAACGGTAAGCCATGTACAACGGAAGGAACAAAATTCTCGTAAATAAAGCGTCTCGAATCTCCGTCTCTTCCGAAAAGAAATCAACCGAACACATACATGAATGATCCCTTTGTTTCATCAGAGGGGTAAAATAAATTTGAATGATTCCCGCGAAAGTTTTCCTAGTGTTTTATACCCTTACTCCGCTTTTGGAGGGAGGACAGAGGTTGAAGGAAAGTTTCTACATCAATAGGAGTCATTTTGAGCAATCGTGACAGGTTAGATTGTACATCCTTATGGGGAAAAGAATCCAGGGAATAATATTCCTGTAATTGGTGCACATGAAACACACGGCCGTTAGGTTTTCGGGTGAATTGCATGGAAAATCTTTCTGCGTCTCTCTCTTCGCTTGCCAATGTTTCTCCTGGTCATGGCTCAATAACACTGCCGGAACTAGGTGCTCGGACCGGCAGGTCCGACAAGTCCATCGACCGGCCTTTCCGAGCAGTTCTCGGACACGGTCGGCCGATAAAAAGTCGGACACACCTGTCCGAGCAGATGATGGACCGACTGGTTACGGCTCGGACAAGCCCGTTCGACATCTGGTCGGACAGCCTCCGGCATTGTGACTTGATGCAGTGATGTGGCCGACGATGCTCTGAAGCATTAAGAGGCTGTTTCAATTCATGGCACCCAGGGTTGATCCCGATCCCAAGTGGAAAGGATACTATGGTCGATTAGTTGTGATACAAAGATCTGTAACCCGGTGCTAGACAGTTGGTTTTGGCAATTTGATTGATACTAAACAGAATTTTTAGCAGGTTCCGCACTTTTGCTACACATCACTTGTGACACTTGCCTAGAGTTTGAGGGGGCACGGTGCCTTCCAAACTTTCAAAAACTCCCAAAAGTAGATGGGTTATCTGTTAGAAGAGTCAGCCCTCTTGGCTTTGTGGATAAGGCGGAGATGCAAGTGATAGGTTGCAATGGGGGATAGTAATTAGAGGTATTGAGGGTTTGGGTTCACGGGCCGGGGGCAGAGAAGGTGTGGCAATTAAAATTTCAGATTCCCTTGTTTTGCATGGAAACTTTGTTCAAGTTCAAGGGAAGACACCCTTGAGTATTATTTTGAGAATTTCAGTCTTCAGAAAATGTGTTGCGCATGCCCAATTCATTTTACCTTGGAAAAAATTGGCAACATGGATTTTCCCTCATCTCGTGTGGACCATCACCATCCAACACACTCAATGTGCAAACAGAAATCAAACCAATCTAATTTATTGTTTGTGTTTTCATGAGATCACCTGCTGCAAAAATAAAGAGTAGTGGTAACTGATTGTTCTATTTCATCCTTGTCTTCCTTCTCTTTCTACCTCCGGTTTGATTAGTAACTGTTTTCTTTGTTAGTCTTCTTGTCTTGATCTTTGTTTTGATTTCTTGTTGATAATCTTCTAGCTGGTCTTGTTGTTGCTCAACCATTGTGGGCCTATGGTTATTTCTCAGGCTCATTCTTTCAATGAATTTTTTTTTCTTGTTTCATTTCTGACTAAATGGCATGTCCCAGTTTTGCCTCTATTTCTCTTAATTATTGGTTGAAATGCTTACCATACACTGTTTCACACTACAAACAATACCAGTTTTGCCCCAGGAAAAAAATTGCCATTTGGGTGGTGGAAAATAGATCAGTTTCCCTGAGTCTTTTTTACAAAATGACTCAAGAGTAAAAATTAGGCTAAAATGAGCTATTTTAGCCAAAAATAAAAATGACTCAAATGAGCTAAAAATTATTTTTGGAATGTTTGAGGCATTTTTATTTTTGGGCCAAAATAGCTCATTTTAACCTAATTTTTACTCCCTGAGTCATTTTGTAAAAAAGCCTCAGGGAAATTGATCTGTTTTCCACCACCCAAATTGTCATTTTTTCCTGGGGCAAAACTCGTACTGTTTGTAGTGTCAATTGTGGTGGAAAAAATGCACAACTTCCCGTCCACATCTGTGGGTCTCCCAGAGCCAGTTTAGAGCCTCAAAATTCAAATTCCTCTGCAAGAATCAAGAATTTTTGGGTCTAGATTGACTTCTGCGAGGGTCATAGATCCGACAGGAAGTCCTCCAATGAAAGGCTAGTTATGCTAACTGTAGCATTAGCGCAGTGTGACATAGCGGAATCCCACTAACATTTAGTGTAGCACAGTGGAATTCAGCCACCACTGTGCTGACGCTACGCGTTGTGGTATGTCCATACCTTTCCATGTATCCTCATCTTTCGTATCATTTTACATATATTCTTCCCAGTATTATTTCATATTCAGATTCTACACACCATTTCACCCCTAGTCACCTCTTACAGCTTTTCATTAGCTCTTGTAGTTCTCTAGTTATCATCTCTTCAATATATTCATAGTTACAGAACAGTACATTACTTTGTACATACAGTACATATACATTACACATTATATAGTTACAGTATCTATGTAGCATCACTCTTTCATCATAGTACATCATCTTATCTCCACTACATCATATACATATTTCTTTTCACACTGCTTTGACTTTCCATATCTGATTAGCACTTGTATACACAGAACATCTGTCACTTAGCTACATTATTTCTCATCACTCATTACTGTTTAAGATTTACATTACCCATAGCCAGGATTTACCCAGCCATGGTGCTTTACTGTTGTATGTACATGTTGTACACATATATACTCTTTCTTCCTCCTCATGTATTTTTCCCCTTATGCCAGTTTTCATATGTACCCTCTAACCATAGTCTTAGAAATCATAAATTAGCATCACCCTTATATCCTCATCAGATATCATTGCCAGTTATATTTGCCAGTTATACATCCCCCCTTGCCAGTTATAAATCCTCATTTGCCAGATTATTCCCCTTGCCAGTGTCATTCCTCATTGCCAGTGTTACACCCTTACCAGTAT